TTACCGTATTGTGTGTGTATAACCTCTTTTTAAGTTTTGTGGATATTATACATGGTTATGCTGAGGATGTGTCGGCCAGTTTACACTGGAAATGCCTTTTGGTTAAACTGTCAGCGAGGAATTTGCATTTGCACTGTTACATTTTTATATAATTTTAATGCACATAAAAACAGCTGCTTGTTTAAGTGAAAATACATTGATGGGTTTTTTGCACTAATAAAGTTGTGGAGTTGTAAAGTATTTTGTCTCGTGTCAATTATATCGTCAGTTATATCGTTATCACAAATTTTCAAATGTATATGGTGATAAATATTTTTGGTCATATGGCCCTGCTCTAGGCTCCAGTCCCCTGCAACCCTGACAACGATAAGCCATCTCCGGCGACTTCCACAGTGCCTGACCTGTCTTCCACTCCCATCACCCCCAGCTGTTTGCCGGAGAAGGCTGCCCCTCCCTGAGCCTTAATCTGCCAGAGGTTTCTTCATGGTTAAAAAGGCCGTTTTACCTTCCCACTGTCACCAAACCACTAGTTCACAGGTGGTTATCTCTGTGTTGTTGTAGAGTCTTTACCTTACAATATAAAGCACCTCGAGGCAACTGTTGTGATTTGGCACTATATAAAGACATTGAATTAAAGTGAATTGCAATAGAGTTAATGGATGGAGACTTAAGACTACATCTTTCACCATCTACATCTGTGACTGCAGCCATTCCCCTTCTGCCTGTGAATAGTACTCATGGATACTGATCTATGGAGATGTCAGTTTGCTTAATAGCTATCCTGAAACTGAGCTCATGGCCCACTGTTAGTCAGCCGTGCTCGTTTCAGCCATTGTTCAGATGCACTGTTTATCACGTTGGGGAAACCTGCAGTCAGCTGAGAATGAACATTTCACCTGGAAGAGTGATGAAATGCTTCTCCCACTGAAAACATCCAGATGAACAGAATCAACTTTCTGTATCCATCCTCAGTTTAAGATGTAGAGACTTTTTATGGTCATGGCCGTACCCACCAGCAATGTTGAGACTCACCCTCTAAAGACAACCGCACCTTCTTCGAGGATGGGATCATCAATGACATCTGGAAGAGCAAGCAGATAATTAATAGACTATTTACTAGGGGTGGGG